ATGCTAGATTCCCCAAACATTCAGCTTTCATATGCATCTTTCGGATTCAGTCTACGTATTATAGTTTTCGAGAAAATCGATGAAATGTAAGAACACTGCTTTTTCGAGCATTTTTTAAACTTTGAACACGAATTACAGCCAAACAGCTAAACCCACAGTAATATATCGATACATTCTAGATTCCCCAAACATTCAGCTTTCATATGCATCTCTTGGATTCATTCTATGTATTATAGTTTTCGAGTAAATCAATGAAATGTGAAAATGTGTTTTGTCGAACGTTCTAATTTCAAGTTTTCAACTTTGAACGCGTATTACAGCAATATGGATAAGAGCACAAGAATGTATCTATACTTTAGCAGATATTATGAAAATTGCTCACTGCTACTAATATTCGCGCATCGGGATGCAGTCACAGTTTGGAAAACGCTGATCTAGTGGAAAAGGGAACAATTTATTTTGGGTTGGCATCACTGGAATACTTTTAAAACGTCGTTTCAATAATATTTGCAAATGTCAGTCAGTCTGAGTCACAGTCAGTTATCAACAAGTTGTTATTGAGGGTGTAACTACATTTTTATTTTATTTTTATATATAATTTGCAATTCTACATTTGAAACTTTTGTTTCGACAACGAGATGGTCGTGTGCAAGTTCTTTCTGCAAGGGACGTGCAAATTCGGTGCGAACTGCAGGTTCGAGCATCCAGTGAATCAACAACGTATGTACACTCTATTTTCTAACATTTGTTTTTGTTTTTCACTAACCAACAACACCTACTCTGTTGCAGCTAATAATGGTGGTCAAGCAGCCATCACTGATTTAAACACACTGATTAGGGCTGTGCAGGGAGACATGAGCAATGCAGAGAAGGGTGGACAGTGGGTGTTGACTTGCTATGCTCCGTTCAAGGAGAAGCCAATGTTTCCAGGTTTCGAGGATATGAGCTACGAGGAGGTCAGGGTGGGATTCTACGAGGCCACCAAATCAGGAACATTGGATGCTTATGTAATGCTCTCTTGTGAGAATTTCCGATGAGTTTTCTAATTTATATATATATTTCTTTTAGAAACAACAATTGCAAGGACTATTGCAAGCTGCTCTGCAGAAGATTCGAGCGCTGCAGAATCCATCCGCGGATCTTGTGAACCTTCTTAAGGATATATACAATTCGCCAGTTGCGGGAAGTTTTCAAGGCGGCACCAACGTGAGTAGCAACAGTAACGTTTTCGGTGGGGCGCCGCAGGAGAAGAAGGGTTTTGGAGCGTGTCCACCGTACAGCAGCCCGTTCGGAGGATCCGCAGCATCCAATAGTCCGTTCGGTGGGGGGGGCGCCCAGCAGAATCCGTTCGGCGCTCAAAGTGGTCAATACAACAATGCTCAATCGGGACTTTTCGGCGCGGCGGTACCCAGTAACAGTCCTTTCGGTGGGGCGGCAGCAACACCAGGTCCGAGTGGACCGTTCGGAGGGACGACGGCACAAGGTGCGAATGGACCTTTCGGTGCAGCCGTTCCCGCCACTGGGAACGTAGCGTTTGGGCAGGCGGCCAGCAGTCCGTTTGGGGCTCAAGTCGCAAATCCTTTTGGCGGTCAAGCGGCGACTGGGAACAGTCCTTTTGGGGCGGCGCAAAGCGCTGCTGGCAACAGCCCGTTCAGAGCTCAGCAAAGTGCCACGAGCAATCCGTTTGGAGCACCGCAGGCGGCGAATCCGTTCGGGGCACCTCAACAACAATCACCGTTCGGGATGATTGCCGCCAATAGTCCGTTCGGTGTTCAACAACCCGTAGCCACCAGCAACAGTGTATTTGGGGCGGTTCAGCAGCCGGTAGCTGCTAGCAATAGTTTATTCGGGCCTGCACAGCACCCGGTGGCTACGAATAACAGCATGTTTGGGGCGGCGCAACAACCGGTGGCTACCAGCAATAGTCTATTCGGGGCGGTTCAACAACCGATTGCTCCAAGCAACAGTTTATTTGGGGCTGCTCCTCCGGGCAATAACGTTTTCGGTACGTTTGGGCAACCATCTACGTTCGGAGCTAGCAGTCCTCCGTTTGGTGGGCAACAACAACAACAGCAGCAGCAGCAACCTTTCGGCGGACAAACTTCGAATTTTGCGGTAGAACAGAAGAGTTCGTACGGACAACCCGTCGCGCAAATGCAGAACAGCCCATTCGGTGGACCGCCCCCGCAGACCGCCCAAAGCAACAGCATATTCGGGGGCGGCGTTGCCCAGCAACAGGTCGCGATAGACGCGCACTTTTACTCGAAGAGGGAGGAGCTCAGCGAAGCCGAGTTGGCGGCCTTCCAGAGCTCCGCCTTCGAGTTCGGAAAGATACCGGAACACCCGCCCCCATCGGAGATGTGCATTTAATTTTCGGAACGATGACGACAAGAAGAACAACAACAACAAAAGCAGCAGCAGACAATTTTCTCTTATATGTTTTTATTCTGTTATTATTTAAACGACAAAGTGCTTCTTCGGTCAGGCCTCGGTCGGGGCCATCTCCTTGGATTTGCTCCAGGCACTGTCGAAGCGGTAATCGGTGTCGACGCCGGGTCTGTCCACCAGATGCGGCTTCATCTTGATGTTCTCCTGCAACTCGAGAAGGCCGACCTTGTCTCCAAAGTCGCAACCGACGATTGCCCGGAATATCTGGTCGGCGGTCTCGACGCCCGCCACCCCCTTACGACTGAAAAACTGAAACGGACGTTTATCGTTATTGTAATTATTGTACAAATAAATAAAAAAAATCTTTGTTTACATTGGAGATATTGCCGCAGTCCCTGTACAAGAAGTGGAAGGCGTTACCGTGGTTCGGCTCCACCGACTGTGCGACGTCTATCAAGTAGCATTCGTCCTCGTACCAGAGGATATTGTACTCTGATAAATCGGCGTGAATTAGGTTTGCCTTATTATATAGGGCGGTCATTGCCTCGATCACCTAAAACCAAACAACCACAATTAACAGATTTACGTTGAATTGATCGAATAGTCGATTCTTCTACCTGATTGTAAGCAACCAAGTATTCGGCATCACTGAGGATGGCATCTTTCAACTTTGGTGCTGGTTTATGGTTTTTACCGATGAACGTCATCAACAGCAGATGTTTCTTCAACGCGACAACCTCCGGACATGGAATACCAGCAGCCCTCACTCTGTTCAAGTTGTGCATCTCCTTTTCGGCCCACAGATGAACAGTCTTCCTGGCGTTCTGCTTACCGATGCGATCCTTGAATCTGTAATCGTCCTTGATGTACTTGTCGCGCTGCTTGAATTCGGACAAAGTCGTCTTAAATACTTTGATCACGCACTCCTTCGACACATCGCAACGCTCCAAACTCTGATCGAGCTCTCCATGCAAGACCAACGCCTCCTTGCCTGCAAAATGTAACGAATCTTTCTCTTTATAATACACTTCATTTACACGCATCATTTTCTTTACCAATGCTGATGATGCCATTGACTCTCTCCAACACCTGATTATTGATCATCTTGTACAGCTGGAGACGGGTGAACTCGTCCATTCCAAATTCAGCTGTAGCATGATCCTCTTTCTTATCATGAACTCTTTTGTTTCTCTGCTGCTCCTGCTTAGAATGTGCCCTCAAGCTGTTAAAATGACAATCAGTTAAACTTAATTAATCAATTACAAACAGTGGTTATTACCTGTTGAACACTTTGTTTGATAATTTGAAATCAAATCCTGCCCCATCCCCGGTCTCAAACTCTGGTGGAAATGACATCATTTTACAGGCATTCCTTCTTCCGCTCATGGTGCCATCATGCTTGGTCACCATATTCCCATCTTTAATTAGATACCCACACGGTGGGATAGCAGTGAAATCCTTGTTCACACTATCAAATCTGTCCCATTCCTTCCTATCCCTGAGATCCACCAATTCCTCCTCCTCTGAATCACTCTCAAAATCTGAAACAACAAAAAAACCTTTACATTAAAAAACAAACAGCAGCAATCATATGCGCATACCAGGATTGGTGGGTGCCCTTCTGTAATTGCTCAACGATATAGAGATCTTATTGGTTCCATTCACTTTGTTCTCTGTGCGCTTGAGCATCTCATCGTATTCCTTATCGAACTGCTGCTGCAGCATCTTCGCGATCTCCGCATCCGTCTCCAAGTCCCCATCGATCAGGAACTCCGCTGGCACAGTGTATTCCTCGCGCGCCAACGCTGGTTTACTTGCGACTTTTTCGAATTCCTTCTCCTGCATCTCTTTCGCCACCTCCTCGGACATGATGTCAGTCAGATTGGCCGCCTCCGGCTTTGCAATTTTTCCCCACGGCGAAGACATTGTCAATTGATTGATTGTTTTTAAATTGCAGTTTTTTTAACTAATATTGTGCAACTTTTGTGCTCGTCGCGAAACAAAGTGAAATCAAATGGACAGATCGGATGACAGAAAAACATACGTAACTTTGACAGATCTGTCAGTTTGTAGGTCAAATGTAATATTATTGACTTGTATTATTGAATTAGGAAAGTGTTGAAATTGGATCAACTCACTCACTGTGAATTTGTTGATGAATTTTCTTGCTATTTATTAGTACGTTTTACAAGTGGAGGGGTAATTTCGGAGAATTCTGTGATCAAATATTGTGCAACTTTTCCAATGTTTGGATCAAATATTTTCTAAATTTCTGGATAGTTCGATATGGTAATTATTTGCAATTAGTAAATGGGATTGTTCTAATGTTTTCATTAGATTCGAATTAGTATAATTGGATTTGAGTGGTTGGTCATAGTGTATTTATCAAATGCTGGACTGGTTGTCATAGAATTGTGTGTGGTTGTCAATTGGTCAATGTGTGCGCAAAGGAAAACTCGCTGAAACGCTGAAAATAGAAGCGTTAGAGAGTAAAAGGGGGAACGATAGAAACATCGAGTGCTATTAGTGAAGATAACGAATTCTACGATGACAGTGGAATGATGAGGTAACGATCATCAAATCGAATAAGAAAATACAGGAGACTCGAGTGTCGGTGCGTTGTTGTTTTCGGTGGTGAAGTACGGGGAAAAATTTAAGCATGATGGCGGATACATCGTTCTCGCGCAACGAAATTGTGGGACTCGTGGTGAGACTGACTCTGGTGTCTGCGGTCACATTCTACAGCATAAAATGGATCATGGAGAGGGTGGACCCCACCAACAAAAACAAGAAGAAAGCTAAGCTGAAGGCCGAGGAACAACTGAAGAAGTGAGTCTACGCAAAGAAGTGAAGATCGCATTGTTATGCATTTTGTTTTTTAGATTGGCGACAGCAGGGAAATGCACACTGGCAGTTGATAAGTTGTCCGAGTACGAGATCATGATTGCTGCACACATCATCAACCCACAGGACATCAACGTGTCGTGGTACAATATAGCTGGCCTGGAGAACACTATCCAAGAGCTGAGGGAGACTGTGATCCTGCCCATTCAGCGTAAAGAGTTGTTCGCCGATTCGCAGCTGACGCAGGCACCGAAAGGAGTGCTGCTGCATGGGCCTCCTGGCTGCGGCAAGACGCTGATCGCTAAGGCCACGGCGAAGGAGGCGGGCACCAGGTTCATTAATCTGGACGTATCAATCCTGACCGATAAATGGTACGGGGAGAGTCAGAAGTTGGCCGCTGCCGTGTTTTCGCTGGCAATTAAGCTGCAGCCGTGCATCATCTTCATCGACGAGATCGATTCGTTCCTGCGGGCCAGGAACAGCACCGATCACGAGGCGACGGCGATGATGAAGGCGCAGTTCATGTCGTTCTGGGATGGCCTCATCACCGATCCCAACTGCACGGTGATCATCATGGGGGCGACGAACAGGCCGCAGGATCTGGACAGCGCCATCCTTCGCAGGATGCCCGCCACTTTCCACATCTCGATGCCGAATGCGTTGCAGAGGAGGCAAATCCTCGATCTGATTCTCGACAACGAGCCCGTCGCTGACGACGTGGACGTGGGTAAGCTGTCCAGGGCGACGGACGGATTCTCCGGGAGCGATTTGAGGGAGCTCTGCCGCACCGCCTCCGTGTACAGGGTCAGGGATTACATGAGGAACGAGAACAAGAGCAACGGCTGCGTCGAAGGTGTCGCCGTGAGCCGAGAGTCCGATGACGAATTCCACGACGCCCTCCGTCCGATCATAATGGACGACTTCCTCGTCTCGCTGAACAAGATGAAGGACTCGAAAATGCACTGCGGCTCTCTGCCCTTGCAGATACGACTGGACTAGCATTCGTGTTCCATTGTAGACAGGTATATAGTTAATATAGATACGTACATTGATAGAGCCGTTAAATTCGAGAGCCTTTTTAAGCGAGTTAACAAATTGTAATTTATGCTGAATAAAGGGGATAAATGTGCAGTGTATGACGACGATGTGTGGTGTACGCAGACGAGAGTCATCATTTATTATTAATTTTCGTTTTTTTTTAGGCGGGAGGAGCGATTCACTTTCTTTTTACTTTATTGTGTACAACAACTAATAATTATATAATAATAGTCATCATTACGCCTACACCAAATTTAGATATACATATGTGTATGTATTGTTGTGTATATGTATATTATATATATATATATATTGATTCGTTTATTATTTCACTTAATCTTCAAATAAAGACATCGTTGTTAACCGTTTTTGTTCTGCGTCATCGAATGAACCTTGCTCTCGGCATTCATTGACCATTGTTATCATAATTGTATGTAAAACGCATACATTTCAATTGCAAATTACGCATAGACCAAACGTTTGCAAGTCGGTCCGAGTGGTTGCATCAATTCATATTATTTGTAGGCAACTAATCAGACAGGTCGATTTATGTAATCGTTAAAAGAAGCTTCTAAATAATATCCCGATTTATTCGAAATATATACAGTGGTTGATAATATTAATTTAAGCAAATAACTTTATGTATGTAGAAACAAAACTAAAATGAAAATTTAACGAAATAAAAATATAAGTTGCGTCAAAAATTTCCCTTATTCTTCTCCTACGTGTATTATTTAAACATTCGTGTTCGATTTTAATAATATGAATTTGATTTTAATAAGTTGGCAAGTTCGAATTCGAACCCAATCAGTTGGCAATTGCGGTTGCGCTGGGCAACTTACTCAGTCCAGTCGTCGTTTGAGCTCGGTTGCTTTTGAGTGTGTTCCCGTTTTGAACATTCAAAATTTGTTGTGTAAACTATTCGAAATGCAGTGAATTATCCCGTATTTTGTGAAATCCATCATCAGAGATCACAATCCAATTGGATTTTGGGTAATTCGCCGTGAGTAATTACATCTTTTTGTAACCAAAATAAAAACGTTCGCATCTTTGCTGTATATTCTAAATTTGAACACGAATTACAGCCAAACCGCTAAAACCACAGTAATATATCGAATACTTGCTAGATTCCCCAAATATTCAGCTTTCATATGCATCTTTTGATTCGCATCTATTGCATAAGCACAGGAATGTGCATCTTGTACTTGCTAGATTCCCCAAATATTCAGCTTTCATATGCATCTTTTGGATTCATTCTATGTATTATAGTTTTCGAGAAAATCAATAAAATGTAAAAACACTACTTTTTCGAACATTTTTTCAACTTTGAACACAAATTACAGCCAAATGGCTAAAACCACAGTAATATGTCAATACTTGCTGGATTCCCCAAACATTCAGCTTTCATATGCATATATTGGATTCATTCTATGTATTATAGTTGTATTATAGAAAATCAATAAAATGTAAAAACACTGCTTTTTCGAGCATTTTTTCAATTTTGAACGCGAATTACAGCCATACGGATAAAAGCACAGTAATATATCAATACTCGTTAAATTCCCCAAACATCCAGCTTTCATATGCATTTGTTGCATCAAATCTATCAGTTATAGTTTCTGAGAAAATCACTGATTTTCGCCAGTGCGGAAATCCTAGATAACAAAAGACGACGCCGTAACGGCAAGCCGCGATAAGTAAAATGGGCTTCGGTAAACAGTTGGCGGTGCTATCAGGGGGGTGGCATGGTAACAGATAAATCGTGTGCCGACTTCTGGCTCCGACTTAATCTCATTCAATTACGACTCGCATCTTCATTTTGCACGCTCTCTTTTTTAATCATCACAACCTCACAAAAATGGCTTTTCCACATAAATTACCACATCCAATACTCCTCCTCTCTTTTGTTTTTATGCATCTTCCTGTGATCTGGCAACAACGCAAACCATATACAAAGTGACATTGCTACAGTTACGACATCTGCTGCAAAAAATTCGATCTAATTTTGACAAGTATTTTTGACAGTTAAATTTATAATGCAAATCAATAGACACATGAGTCTCAGAAAATCAAACTTCTTTTCTTTTTTTTTTTCTTCAGCATTTGCTGTAATCAATAGGAACGTAACGAGTATTTCTAGTGGATGAAACACCGGCAGAGAAAGAAACAAACGACGATAATGGAGACTTTTAAATTCGATACCAAGGCCGCCTTCATGCATTAATACACACACACACATAAAACAAAACAAAAAAAAACCTAGACAAAAGAGATGCTGAAGAGCGTACTCTTAAACTGGAGTGTCGTTTATCTGAGCGAAGGAGTTTCCGTTCCATTTTTGCGGATTTCGCAGCGACGAACAACAAGAGTAAAAAAAAATTTGGATAAAAATAATTGCATTTTCGTTCGGCTTCTTGATGTGTTTAAATTTTCGATTCGCTTTCCAATAAATATTTACGCGTTACGGCTGGACAGATGAAATGTAAATGTTTTGGTTTTCATGCGCGAACCAAAGAAATATCTTTTGATGGACGCAGAATTTCTGCTTCGAACAAAAAAGAAATTAACAGTTTCGAACCGAATCTCAACAGCGATTGTTTATATCTTCTTTTTTTTGTATTAATATTTTGTTGCAGTTGGTAATTTAAGATGTTGACGTTTATGTGTAATGACATAATCGATGTCAAAAAAATGTCAGTTGGGGAAATCTAATTATGTTATTACACTTTGACAGCTAATATCAAACGAATGTGAAAAGTCACATATTTGTGAGTAGGCTCGTTGGAAAGGTCAAAGTTTTATCTTTAATATGACTGTTGAATAATACAATTAGCGTGAACGGTTATTGAGTAATTAAGGAAAGTAATTGACAAAACTTCCGCAATGTAACCTCGCAATTGGCAATTTAAGATGTTGACGTTTAAGTGTAATGACATAATCGATGTCAAAAAATGACAGTTGGGAAAATCTAATTATATTATTACACTTTGACAGCTAATATCGAATGAATGTGAAAAGTCACATATGCGTTAGTAGGCTTGTTGGAAAGGTCAAAGTTTTATCTTTAATATGACTGTTGAATAATACAATTAGCGTGAATGGTTATTGAGTAATTAACGAAAATAGTTGACAAAAATTTCTTGGCAAAACTTCCGCAATCTAACCTCACAATTGGCAATTTAAGATGTTGACGTTTAAGTGAAATGACATAATCGATGTCAAAAAATGACAGTTGGGAAAATCTAATTATATTATTACACTTTGACAGCTAATATCGAACGAATATGAAAAGTCACATATTTGTGAGTAGGCTCGTCGGAAAGGTCAAAGTTTTATCTTTAATATGACTGTTGAATAATACAATAAGCGTGAATGGTTATTGAGTAATTAACGAAAGTAATTGACGAAAATTTCTTGCCAAAACTTCCGCAATCTAACCTCGCAATTGGCAATTTAAGATGGTGACGTTTAAGTGTAATGACATAATCGATGTCAAAAAAATGACAGTTGGGGAAATCTAATTATGTTATTACATTTTGACAGCTAATATCGAACGAATGTGAAAAGTCACATATTTGTGAGTAGGCTCGTTGGAAAGGCCAAAGTGTTATCTTTAATATGACTGTTGAATAATACAATTATCGTGAATGGTTATTGAGTAATTAACGAAAATAGTTGACGAAAATTTCTTGGCAAAACTTCCACAATGTAACCTAATAATTGGCAATTTAAGATGTTGACGTTTAAGTGTAATGACATAATCAATGTCAAAAAATGACAGGTGGGGAAATCTAATTATGTTATTACACTTTGACAGCTAATATCGAACGAATGTGAAATCTCACATATGTGTGAGTAGGCTCGTTGGAAAGGTCAAAGTTTTATCTTTAATATGACTGTTGAATAATACAATTTGCGTAAATGGTTATTGAGTAATTAACGAAAGTAATTGATGAAAATTTCTTGACAAAACTTCCGCAATCTAACCTCACATGTCAAAGGCTCCAAAGCTTAAAAAACATAATAAAATAAATTGGTAAATGTTAATCGTATGAAAACATTCATTTCTTTTCTTTATTTAGGAAAAATAAAAATAATAAAAAATTTCAAGCATAAAATTTTCCGCGCGCACGGAACAACGATCGTAACCTTGTTGGGTTTATGTCCAGAACGCCGTCGAGATAACGAGAAATTTCCCGTACACTTTGCGTGTTTCCACACTGAAAACTCGCCGCGCATTTTCCGCGTTTTTTTTTTAAACCCACCCACATTGCGAAATGGGAATACAGGCATAATGGATTTCAAGGAAAAAGAGAGAAAAGAAAAATATGCTTTAATTCAAACATATCCGGTTTTTGGATAGAAAAGTATCCTAGTTTCTAATTATTTCAGTTTTAGGCAACTTCACTTGCAACTATGATTTGTATTTTAGGCAAATTCATTATCAAAGTTAGGCAATTTTAATTACTCAATTTTCGATTAGACAACTTCCCTTGCACACTTTAACTTATATTGATAAGATAAGAACTAATTTTAGTTTTTAGAAAATAAAATTGGAAACGATTCAAATTTCGTAACATACGTAACCACTTAACTTACAAATAAAAACGTTTTTATTATGCGGATTAAATGAGAAAAACGTAAAAAATCTAGTCCAGCGTTTAGATTTTATTTCGCTCTCTGCATAATGGAGAGAACCCATAAAAAACGTAAGTGTTTTAGTTCCACTTAACTCTCACAGGAAAAAAAATACGTAGAGAAAATTGAGGAAATCGTTGTGCATTTTGTAACGAAAATTCCGCGATGTTAATTTTACTGTTTATCATCACTCGAGGCGTGATTATTCGAATTCCATGCATAATCATAATCGATTCCCTTGTAATTTTCCACGAAGAATTGCGCGAATGCATGCGAACCGTTCTGCGAATGCGAGAAACATGGAAATGCTAACATTGCTCACCTACATCAAATCCAACATTTTTAGCATATTTACTTCAACATTATCAAGTAAAATTCATACGAAGAACAGTAAAAATTTGTCTTCAGTTCGATCATCTAATTAGTAGGCGTAGATATTGAATAATAACGTGAAACGTGACGATATTGTATTTTTAATTTCAAAGATTGATTACAGGAAATTAGACATAATTACAAATCTGAATGTTAGCTTATTTGAAAGATCATAGTTTTAGCTTTAATTTGCATTTCCAATGATGTAAATAGCACGTGTAGTTACCGAGTAATTCAA